GTATACCATAGTCTACTACAGAAAAATTGAAAAATATGTAAATTGAAATTAAAAAAATAAAAAGATAACATTTTTTTTTGTAATTCTCAATATTATGTAGAAAAAAGAAGGAAAAAAATAAAGAAATTTTAATACTAGTGTATAAAATGCTTAAATAAATAACGAGAAAAAAAATATTAGATGAAAATATGAAACTATTAAATGCATAATAAATAAAATGATAAATGCAGTTTGGAATTTACTTAATGAATATTTCGAATTTGTGAGTGGAGGGGCATTTTTGGAACGAATTTTATAAAGGATATGAAGCAAATGTTTAGTTAGACTTGTCATTTAGTTCAAATAAGTTTTGACACCAGGGATCTATATCCTAAGACCCCTTGATTAAATAACTATGAGTGATGATATTTGGAATTTTGTACCTTAAATGGCTGCATGGATGTATTTATTACTGCTAGAATTTATTGGAATGGATTATTACCTAGATGTGATAATAAGTCCATTAAATGAAAGGTGAAAAAGGGGTGTTTGCTTTACAAGCATGGTTTAATATTAAATGGTGATGTATTAATGTGTGGCTGCATGTGTGTGTGCTGAATGTGTATGTGGTGTGTGCCGTGTGTGGTTGTGTGTGTTTATATGTGTGAATTTGGGATTTTTGCCTAAATTATAAATATGTGGTGAATTGTGATATTTGTGTGATTTTGTGGCACTTGATTGATTTTTGCAATGTTATGTGTGGGTCATAAGCATAATTTTGAAAAGATGCATTTCATGGTTTTTAAATTGAAAGATTAATGGAATACCGGGTAATAAGCAACTCGGATATAGAGGGCCGGTATCCAACTAGGATGAAATGATGTGGTTTGATCCCACTTAGTGAAAACGGGCTCGTAACATGTTTATTATTCAGGTACAAAAATTAATCTTTCACGGATCCGATAAAACGAAAAATGTATTTTTCACGATTGTCATAAAAACGACATTTTAGTCATTTTGCATAAGTACGTGGGTATGTGCGAATATGTGTTTTCGTGAATTATGTGATTGTACCGATTGTCTTGTGTTGTTTTGGAATGTGGGTAATAATGGATATATAATATTATATATTATGTATAACGTATTTTCAAAGTTCGATATTTCATCGGATTTCTTACTGAGCTTTATAGCTCATATAGATGTCTTTTAATTGCAGGTAGTAGTGCTAGTAATCCTCAACCGGGATGGATCGAGTAGCGGATCGAGGTCTTGCCCGGGTTTTTGTTGGAAGTTGTACGTGGACCTATGAACGATGCTGTATGTATTGGGTTTTCTTTTGGTGATGTAATATAAACCTCCGTATTTTTCCTTTTCGTATCTTTTAAACTCAAATCCGGTATGGATCGTACTTAACTCTTATTATAAAATAGTTTGTTTCGTAATTTTGCTATTTTCATGCCTCCACTAGTAATTTCGAATTATTCACCAAAATAACCTTTCCAAACTCTGATTTCTTCTCGAACCGAAAACCGATAGTGATAGTGTAGCACTCGAACGAAAAACCTCCCCTCGAAACTCATTTCCAAACAAAACCATTATTCGGCTAAAGTAATTAGAGAATTCAAATTATAGTATAATTAATTAGGAATAAGCACATCATAAAATTGAATTAATCTATATCTATATCTATTATACTAGTAAGTAACACGTGACGCACGTGATTTACGATTTTACAAAATAGAAGAAGTAGAAGATCATATGAGATAAGTTAAACCACTACAAAAAACATCATGCTATGACGAATTGCGAATTTGTCACAGAAGTAACAAGCTATTGTGAAAAAATACAAAGTTGTACATAACCAGAAACTTTACGAGACAAAACTACATCTCGTCACATAAAATGTGATTATATGACAATTATAATAATTTTTCACGAGAAAGAACATGGGTGATTTCTGGGATAGGTGTGTGCTGTTGTTGCGACAAATTTTACTTTTATTGGGTCGATATCCGATTTTTCATAATTCATTTTGTGTTGTGACGAAGACTAATTCATCATTAAAAATAATTCATCTAATTTCGTTCCCTTCTATTTATCCAGAAAAAATCATTTCCCCCAGAGTTTCCCTCTCAAATTTTAAACACTTGATTTACTATTTATGCGACGAAATGATGTTGTTCCTGAATATGAGACAAGGTTGTTTGGATTTTAGGTTGACTTGTGACAAAACTTATATTGCACTGTAAAGAAAAATCATTTAAAAATAATTATTTTTGACCATTATTGTATCCCATCCATCAAAATATAAATTAGGGATGGCAATTTAACCCGCCTCGTCCCACCCTATTTGTTAATGGGCAAAAATTTCACCCATAGCGGGTACGGATTTTGAACATATGCATTCTTAATCGCATCCAACTCGTTTATATATTTTTATATATTTATTATAGGGTAAAATTCATTTTGCACCCTTGTACTATGTGAAATGTACCATTTACCCCCTGATGTATTGAAAACATCAAACACCCCTTCGCGGTTAGTTTTTTTCCTAATTCCGTTAGTCAAACCTTTTGGCCGGCTGTTGCTAAGAGTTGTTGCTTTTTTTCTTTGAACGAATATACCCCAAAAATTTATTTATCTAGTTTGCTTAATTTTGGCCATTATTCACCAGATTTTTCGCTTTTTTCAACCTTTTTATTTCACTTTATTTAGTCATGTTTTTTTCACTCTTTTCAACTCTTTTCTCTTTTCTTTATGCATAAAAAATTGAAAAGTCGAATCAATTAGAATGAAGCTTTGCAAATCATGAATGCAAAACCCAAAAAAATACTAAAAACCCCTTAAATCTAAAAGAAACCCTAAAATTGAAATAAAATCTTATGACAGAATTGCAAATAAAAAACAAAGGTTTCATATTATAATGGCAAAACCCCCCAAAAAATAAAATTGAAAACCCCTAAATCAAACACTAAAATCGACAAAAATTCCTAATTAAAATGAACGGAAAAAATCATTACCAATCCACAAAAATAAACTTTAAAAAAATTAGGGATTATATCGATCATACATTAAGCAGGGTAAACGAGTCATTTCTCGCTTAAATTTAACACCGCTAAAAGTTTGACCATTGACCATAAAAAATAGGGAGGCGCTTGATGTTTTTTATACTTTAGGGGGTAAATGATACATTTCACATAGTGCAGGGGTGCAAAATAAATTTAGCCCTTTTTTATATTGCTAAATACTACTTTTTAAAGATATTTTAATTACATAAATTATTCATATAAAAAATTAATTTTCAAAGAGAAAAGTATGAAATATAAGCAAAATAACATACCAACTTTATTAACATAGTTTGATTTCAGTTTTGATTTGAAGGATCTATTCCTTCGATTATCTCTTAAAACTTATCTATTTACCAAACTATAGTGTTTAGGAACGGGCAGAGAAATGAAAGGAAGGAAACATGGCTCATGAGTTGACATCTTTTTAATTAAAGGGGCTCTTTGATATAACTCCCGTAATACATTTTTTAATATGGAGATACCCAAACTATTTTGCACTATTTGAGAAAAATTCCTTCCTAATTTCAGCCACTCATTTATCCAATTATGCCTCTACCACCTCATCAGCAGCACTATCACCAATTATGTCCCTGCCACCTTATCAGCTGTTTTTTTTTTTCTCGATTTTTTACTTTTTTCTCAATCAGGTATATTAATCGACTATGAAATATCATCTAGTCGATTAAGGAACTGGCTACTTCAAAAAAAAACACAACTATGTAAAAACGAAAATCGACATTTTTTTTACATAACAAATAATATACATAAATTGTAATTGATTTATACAACTCGGAATCAATACACAAAAATTAAAAAATAAAATCATGTAACCTTAATCGACTACCAAAACAGCCGATTAACACTTTAATCGACCACGCGAACATAGTCGATTAACTTAATCGACTACCAAAATAACACATAGTCGATTAAGGGTCCAGCCTGCCCGAATTTATTTACATGCGCCGTCCTCCACCTGATCTACCAAAAAACGTTAGATCTGCTCCTCCTTGTCACCACGCCACCGCCACACCACACCATCACCACCACACTTCCACATTATGACGGTCTTTAATGACAAATAAAGTAAATTACAACCCGCACCGCCAACCCAAACAAAAACACCCCCATGAAAACCACCAAAAACAAAGCCACCCAACAATTTTCTTTATGACCACCGCCATATCCAAAAAGAGGCAGCAAAATCAAATTAAAAATTCATAACTGCAGGGACGAAGATGAAATCTTTGCAAACTCAAGAAACTGTAAGTCTGTAAGTAAGTGAAACGCTACTTGGGGTATTCGCGAGCGCGGGATCCTCCGCCGCGTCGTCGCCATAGTCTCCACAATGGATTTTCAGATGTTGTTCGTGATTTAGGCCATGGTGGTGGCGGAGGGGGAGAGAGTGGTCTGAGATCTGTTGAGAAGAGAAGCGAGAAAAATGACGCGGAGGAAAAAAAAAGGTCCGGAAAAATGATAAATAATTAGGGTTAAAATAGTTATAATCAAATAAGGATAGTTTTGGAATTATAAAAATATAACTTGGGTGGACTATTAGCTAAGAGGGTTTTCTCTAATTTTTTTAGGGGTGTTTCCTTAACTACATTTTCTAGATTGGGGGTTCTTGTTAATTTTCCCTTAATTAAATTATATTAGAATTTTTGGGTTTCTTGTCTTAAAGTTGCAATTTTTTTTAATTAAATCATCACGACTTTGGGTTTCTTGTATGGGATTATTTGATATAACCCCCTCATATGCTTTTTGCACTTAGTATAGGCCCAAAATATATTCCCCTTTTTGAGATAAATCCAAATTATATTATAACAATTTTTTTTTGTGCGATATTTCTATATTGCCCCTATGTATATATGGACGATATTATTTTTCTATTATTTGACGTGTCCATCTCTCTTCTCTTCTCTTCTTTACGCCTCCAATTACCTTCATCCTCTGTTAAAATTCTCCTCTCTGTAATTAGCGTTTCACATGTCGAACATTATCGCCACACGCTTTCGATTATCATCGCACTCTACGAATGGTCTCAACACGGAATCTCTCGCCGCTGTTGTTAAGGAGCTTCGCAGGGATTCAACACCGCCACACAGTTGCACCACCTCCTTGACCAGGTATTGGGTTAATCAATCAATCTTGTTAGTAGTTGATATACGTTTTTAATTATTGTGTAATGAAATTAAGTATGTTTTATGGGTGTTGAACCCTTGAATGCCCACTTTGAGGGTTTTTTTTTTTTTTTTTTTAAGATCCTTATAAAAATGAGACAGGGGTATTTTTCTGGGTGCAAACCAGAAAATTTCCTCTCACTCGCATATTTCACTACCGACAAGATCCGTCGGAATCTGTTCAGACGGTCCCCAACATCCCTTCCACGAGTTCGGTTTCACATACTTGAAGACGACCCGACGACCCCTGACCTTCCAGAGCTCTCCAAGGTATTTTTATCTTTTTTTGCGGTGGGTTCGACAATTTCTTCCCTCCACCGCACACGCCGCTGTCGGGGCTGTTATGCCGAGATGGCAGCACATTTTCTAGATAGGTCGTGGCATCTCAACAACTATGAGGAAAAACTGCCTCGGCTACAATCGATCGATCGCCGAAACCAGCGGTGGTGTAAGCAGCGTTCCGATTTTACATATTCCATTTCTTTTTCCTACAACATCTGTCATATATGTAGTGTAATGATTATGAGATTGAGGTTTAATTAGCAGTGAGATATACTAATGAGTTCTATGCTCTATGCTATCAACAGTACAAACATTTCAGGGAGGTTGAGATCTCATCTATAGATTCGCAACCTAACGCTTGTGTATAAGATGGATGTGTTTGACGAATGTATTCTTCAGGACGTCAATGCTCTTACAGTAAATAGTGGTTTTCGAATTCTCACGGGACAGTAAATAGTGGTTTACGTTGGTGATACTCAATATATCTTACGTTTTAGTAATTCATGTGTTCTGGTGTTAAAAACACTGTATGACTTGATAATATACATGTTACTGTTGTATTTAATGGTGTAAGTTTACTCAATCCTTACGTATTAGTGGTTTTTGTTTTTGTTTCTATGTGACAGAATATGGACATAAAAGAAGGAGATTGAACAAAACGGCACATACAACTTTAATTTTGGAGTGGTTATGTATGAGCTATTGATGGATCGAAAAAATGAGGAAAAAGAATCGGATGGGGCTCTATTTGATGTTGTACCCGTCTCCATGTATATTTTAGATCGAAAAAAGAGTGAATTTATAATTCTCACGAGTCAGTAAATAGTGGATTATACTTACAGTAAATAGTGGTTTTCAAATGTAAATAGTGGATTACACTTACAGTAAATAGTGGATTTCAAATTCACAGAGTGAGTAGTGGATTTTAAAATCAGACAGTGAATAATGAATTACGTTAATATTACAGTGGTTTACGACAATTTAACAGTGAATTTTACGTTATTTTTTATATTTTTTTTGTTATAATGAATGTCGAAAAATTTTGACAAATGTGTTAGTGGATTTCATTTTTTGGTAAACCTGTTGGAAATAAAATTATTTTTAAAAAAACTGAAATTTTCAATAAGTTTATAGTGAATTTTCGTAATAGATAATGTTAATTAGTTAGTGGTTTTCGATAAGCTTATAATGGATTTCCGTAATGAACTACGTTAATACATAGTGGTTTTCGATAAGTTTATAAAATCAAATTTTTATCTCCTTAATATTATTTTAAATACCATTTTCGAATTTTATCATATTTGTATCCCCTAAATATTATTTTTTATTTTTATCAGATTTTTGTCTCCTAAATATTATTTTTTATTTTTATCAAATTTTTATCTCCTAAATATTATTATAAATAATATTTTTTTAATTTTATCAATTTTATATCTCCTAACTATAATTTTAAATATAATTTTCAACTTTTAGCAGATTTTTATCTCCTAAATATTATTTTCGAATTTTATCAAAGTTATATCTCCTAAATAATATTTTAAATATTTTTTTCGAGTTTTATCATGTTTTTATTAGTTTTTTTATCTCCTAAATATTAATTTTGTTTTTTTATCACATTATTGTCTCCTAAACATTATTTTCGATTTTTATCAAATTTAATCTCCTAAATATTATTTTAAATAATAATTTTGATTTTAATCATATTTTATCTCCTAAATATTATTCTAATTATTATTTTCGTATTTTATCAACTTTTATCTCATTAACATTATTTGAAATATTATTTTCGATTTTTATCAAATTTTTATCTTCTAACTATTATTTTAAATTTTATTTTCGATTTTTATCAGATTTTTATCTTTTAAATATTATTTTTTTATTTTTTTATCAAATTTTTATCTCCTAAATATTATTTTAAATATTATTATCGATTTTCATCAAATTGTCCTAGATATTATTTATAACTATCTGATTTTCGATTTTTACAGAAAAGGGTAAATAAATCTGATTTTCATGCCTAGCGAATTTTGTGACATCGTTTTACATAATGTCTACAACATTTGAATTTTATTTATTCCCTTCCTAAGGCTTCTTCTTTTGGTAACCCGACTTTAGATTTTGTTTTTTATCTTCTTCATCCTATTGACTCTGTGGTAATTAGTTTACATCTTTTTCCATCATGGCTTATCGGTAATTTCATTTTGTTAAATTATGTGTTTCATTAATTTATACCAAAGTTTTCAAATTTTATGTATAACAATTATTTCATTTTATATGTTATTGGACATGTTATTGAAATGGATGATTTGAGAGAATTAACCAAAAATGGGCGGAGCCACAAGCTATTGGAAGTCGACCTTCAAGACTTATTGTTTGTATGCGATATTTAATTTATTGTTTATATTTATTTTTGTTTCTTAATTTTCCAATTGTTAATTCCAGTGGCAAAACAGCCTGAAAATGAGGCAGTGGAGAAGGGCTTAGTTCCGATGCAAGATGTATAGATGGCCTTTTATGTTGTCGATAGTTTAGTTTTGATTATGTTAACTAAGTTATTAAATCTAATTACTTTTAAGCTCAACATGAAAGACATAGTTGATGATTTTTTTCCTGGTTCAAATTTTCAATCTACTGGTATTAGCTGATTCAATTCATTTGGAAAATTATTCAATAGTAAAGTTATTTCCTTTTTTTTTGTGTGTAGTATACTTAATGATGTTCCAGTATAATAGAATTTTGATCATACGATACATCAAACGTTTGTTTATATTCTTACAACATCAAAACAATGCAATTTGTTGTCCCGTGCATCGCACGGGTACAATTACTAGTTTTTTTTAATTAAAATGGCAGAAGATTTTTTGAGAGATTTTGGGGGTTAGGCGAAATTTAGGGGAGTTATTTTGGGAAAATAAATTAAACATTAAAATTCAAAAATACACTACAAGGGTAGTATAAGTATTTTGCTATGGGAGGGGGTTATCTCAAAAATGGAATTATTAATTGGACTTATCCCTCTTAGGAAATTGAGTGAGGGGGTTATCTCATATAACCCCTTCTTGGATTGAAGTGCCATTTTATAAAAATATATGAATTCCTTCCCACGAATTGCATTAATATTGTGTGGTGGTTTATATTTTGTATTATAAATGAATGATAGTTTTTGGTGACCGGTTTTTTATAAAAGTATGAAACATAAGGTGGTTTCTTCCATTTAATGTATGTCAAAAAATGTCCTTTTAATAGGTAAGATTTGAAGGACAGTTAGGTAATATTGATTAGTAATACTGAATTAATATTAACACACACACACAAGAATAAAAAAAATCACATCAAGCAGGTACGAATAGAGTGAGATAATAAGTAGATAAATGATCACCATTACGGTTTAGTTTTATTGCGTAAAACTCGGCATGTATTTCGTTTTTTTTTTTCATGATATTCCATTTTTCGTTAATAGTTAACACCGTTAACTAATGAGAGGATTTTATGCAACGTTTTTCGCAACATAGGGGAATTTGGTGCATATTTTCTACAACACGTGGGGTTTTATGAAAACATAATTTATTCATTTAAAAAGCAGAAAATATTAATTCAACTCCAATATTAAAAATAAAAACATAATATTTTTTGAAAACTCAAGTTTTTAAAAAAATTCCTGTTATTAATTCCAATTTTTTTATATAATATAATTAATTAATGTATTTATAAAATTTATTTTCTAAAATACGTTTTTATAATATTAAAATTGTTATATATTTATATAATTTATTCTAGATTAACTATATGTAAAAACAATATAAATAATTTGAAATTGGGTTCCAATTTGCATCTTTATTTCTATTATTCTTTTTATGTCATATTGTAAATTAATAAATTTATTCGGCTTAATGTTACTAAAATAATTTAATTTTAAATGATTTTTTTTCCTTCATAAATCCTTTTTCTTTTGCAAAAAAAAAAAAGAAAAAAAAAGAAAAAAATACAAGGTAAAATCTCGTCAATAGTTACTGTGTTAAGTTTTAACGAAAGTAGGATTTGATGCAAGGTAAAATGAAATACAAGGCGATTTCACGCAATAAAACAACACACACAAGGGGATTTGGTGCAAGTTTTGCTTAACACAAATTTTTTTATGCTATTTACACAATAATGAATAAACATAGTTGACAATTTCACCATTGAAATTTTTAATTACCCATCCAAAGTGCGGCGTCCGTTAGATTACACGACCTAGATGTAGCGGACGTTAAAAACCACTCAGATTAAATTAGCAACACGGCTTGTGGAAAATCCTCTTCCTCCAGGCTTCCCTTTCAGTCCTCAGAACACTATTTACCGATCTGCAACAAATGGTTTGCTTGAATGATGTGGCTATAATCCAAGTAATAAAATGACGAGTAACCCGAAACTCAACCTACGTACTTTGCATCTAATTATATATGTTTATCATAATTAATTAGAGGCAAGAAACATCTTGTTGTTTCCTAACAAGCTATAGTTTACTGTGTATGTGCTAGGCTCCTTCATTTATCATTATATATATGTTGTGTTGTTGATGTTGTGTAATTCTTCAATTTACCTCATAGATAACTCCTACTTTTATTTGCTTTTCACATAGAATCTATTTGCGTGGATTTTTCGAATTTTTTACTACAAATTCTTTTAATATAATTGGTAATTTGATCAATTTTCTATTACTATATTTTCTATGCTAGCTGGAATCAGCTTTCGGTTAAAACACGATTCTGATTGCATTTATCTTTACTTACAAACACTAGTGGAACATACCAGGGGCAAGGGGCTGTGCCCCCAAACCCCCACAAAAAAAAAAAGAGAAAAAAAGGAAAGAAAGAAAACCACAATTTGTAAATTCGAAGTAATATTTTTAAAATATAGGTTTTGGTCCCCAATTTTTTTTTTTAATTTGACCCTTCAATTTATATTTCTCATGTAAGTTTATATATTTTCTTATATATATTATACCAATATAAAATATTATGGTTAAAACTTCTACTTTTTCAAAATAATACTTATAAATATTACATTTTTTTTATTAATTATCCTAAACAAATTCTAAGGCGATGCCCCCGAACCCTCAAGAACTTAACTTCTTCCACCGTTATATTATTTCATAAAACACTCCCCCTCCCGGGCCCAAATAAAATTTAGGTTTCGTCCATGGTGATAAATGTTGTTTCATGCCATTTTGGCTTCAATTGTGATTTTGACAATTTTTTTTCTAAATTTGACGAAAGCTCAAAACACGGTATTTGTAATTATTTGAGTTAACTTTCTAATTCAAATTGAATCACCAGAATTGGATGTCCGGTGAGAAATATATGCATGAATCAACGAACATTGTCTACAACTTTAATGATTTGAATTATCGAAAATTCAAAATGTAACTGAACATGCATAAATTTATCAACCGACATTCAATCCAGGTGATTCAAGGTGGATTAGAAAGTTAACTCAAAGGACTACAATTTCCGTGGTTTGAATTTTGCCAAAATCAGGATAAAAAAGAGTCAAAATCAAGTTCGAACTCAAAACGATATTAGTCAATATAGTTTGTAAAACATGAATTCCACACCTAATTGCTTGACATTTGACATCAATTGGTGACATGTCCTCAATTTCATGCCATGTGGCAAATTAATTAGTGGAAATAAATCATCAAAAAACATGTCATCACCACTTGCCATATATTTATATTTAATTATTTTCATGTCATTTGTTTTATTAACTAAACAACTTCAAACAATGAATAGAATTTTTTTATTTTTGAAAACTCTAAATAGATTTTTCTTTAATTTCATTTTAACAATAATTAGTTTAATTTGAATTTAGTTAAATCCAATTTGAAATCTTGCCTTATTATAGTTACATATTCGATGTTGTTACGGAAATTTTGTACTTTAGTTCATAAACTTGAATTTGTATTAAAAAGTTATTGTAGATCAAATTAATTTGATATTATACATTTTACATGATATGACCAGAGAAAAGGTCTTTTATTTTTTACTAATTTAATATATGATTAATTATACAAGATTTATTACAATTCATTTAACTACAAATATTCTGACTAATTTTTCAAATTAAAATTTTAAACCATGTAAAAATAAAATTGTTAAACTAGGGTATTATAGCTTTAATAATTGATTATTAAATATTTTAACATTGTATATAACTCGATATCGTTTAAGTATTGGAATACATGAGTTCTTTTGTCTAACTTTTAAATTTATTTATCTAAATTAGTGGAAATATTCTTAAGTTTTCTATTTTCCCATCATCTTTAATAAGATATATTTATTGGGCAAATCGCAAAGAGGGATATGTAAATGCACATTGGTCCAGACGAAAAACAGTATTTCAAATAAACACGTCCCCATGTCTTTTTGTCTAAATATACCCTCCATAATATAATTTTTATCAATTTCATCCGTTATACTCTAATTTTCTCAATTTTACACATTGACCCCGGATTTAAAAAAATATATCACGTTAACCCCCATTTTAATAATTTTCAGAAAAAATATATTTTTTTAAAGAAAATAATTTTTTTTCAGAATTTTTTTTTCCGGCCAGATTTCGGCGTTGACTTTTTTTTTTTGGATTTTTTTTTCTTAAAAAATTATTTTAATTAATATTACTGTCTTGGCTGCTAAATTACTGTCTTCAACAGTAATTTAACTGTTAATTGACTTTCGCAGTAATATTGAATACCAAAACAGTAATATTACTGTCCCAAGCAGGTGTCTCAGACAGTAATATTACTGTCCAATATTATGAATATTACTTTCCCGAACAGTAATATTACTAATATTACTGTCTCAAACAGTAATATTATTGCATGAGACAGTAATATTACGGTCGAAGACAGTAATACTACGGTTGAGAACAACAAAATTGCAAGCCAAGACGATGAAATTATTTAATACAGTAATATTACTGTCTCATACAGTTAAATTACTGTTTCCGACAGTTAAATTACTGTTGGGGACAGTAATATTAATTAAAATATTTTTTTAAGAAGAAACAAAATTAAAAAAAAAAGGTCATTTAACAGTTGAATTGCTGTTGGAAAAAAAGGTTATTTTTTATTCAGAAAAAGCAAAATAAAAAAAAAATCAATGCTGAAGTTTGGCGGTTGACCTGCCGGAGAAAAAAAATCAACGCCGGAAATCGGCGGTTTCCGGTGGTGGCGGGTCAAAATTGGTTATTTTGTGAAGTTGGACTAGTTTGGGTGTAAATCATGGAATTGGAGTTAAATTGGGTTTCAATGAATTGTGGGCAATTTTGGTATATATAAAGGGTTTTCCTTATTCGCAGATAAGTTTGAATGAGCTAGAATTATTTGAAATACAAAAAAGTTGGATATCTAAGCTCCCTTGTCATGGGTCTCTTTGCCATTAACCCATATTTATTTTGTTAATTAACTTCCGTTTCTTAAATATTTGTCGAATAAAATTATTGATTTTATAAAGTTTATAAGAATCTAATATCTATTCTATATCTCTACGTTTTTTTTTTTTTTTGAAATTACAATATATTCGATTGATTTAGACAAAAATCCAATAAAATTTTATTTGTTAATTTATTATTTATATAAGCATTTTATAGTGACTTTTGTTTACTTAAAAAATTGACTTATTTTCATTGGCATCAGCCTTTTCGTTAGTTTCTATCACATGTGTAAATCAATTTAAGTTGTATATTAACAAGGATAAATTACGAAAACCAACTGAACTTAGGCTAAATTAAGAAAAACACCCACATATATTCGTAAACAAAATTTTCCTGATGTTTGTTTCCGTCTTACACCGACACCTTACGGTGTGATTTTTCACGAAATGTTTTATTACATGGAATATTTCCCGAAAAATATTGATTCTACCCTGCAGACGCGGCATTTCTTTATGGCACTTTTAAAAGAAAAAAAAAATCTTTATTACCATTATCGGCCCCGAGGATAAAAGAAATGTCACGTCTGCAGGGGTAGAATCCGCATTTTTTGGGATATTACATGGAATAAAAAAAATCGTAAAAAATCACACCATAAGGGGTCGCAGAAACAAACATCACGGGATTTTGGTAATTACCGATGGATCGTGGGAGTTTTCTGTAATTTAATCTAAGTGCAAGGGAATTTTCATAATTTATCCTATTAACAAAAATTAGTGTTCTTCTTGCGTTTTAATGTTTGCTTATACACTTATAATATTTAAAAAAAAAATAATGTCAATCTATATAAAACATATAAGATGAATTCCATTATCAATTGGACATTTGGCAATTTCAATTGATGACATGTCATCAATTTCATCCCATGTGGCAAATTGATAGGTGGAAATAGATTATCAAAAATTATATCATCTTTATGCTTAAATTTTCAAATTTACAAATCTGGTTTATGGAAATTCATTAATTGTATAAATCATAAGTAAACATACAAAATTGGCAACTATATTGTGTTACAATTGTATAAAATAAATTATTTATAAAAGTTTATTTATATTTTATTATTTTTTTCTGTCTAATTTTTTTAATAATGTAATCTTATGCAAACTTGATTTCGAATTATGAAACATTAAATCGGAAAAACAAATTACCAGCTTGAATAAATAATCTATATCTATATAGTTAGTATAAAATTACGATGTACCGATTGCATGTGATAAATAGAATAGTAATGGAATATATCTATAATCTAATAAATGCAAGATTATAATATAGCGTGATTTGTTAACATTTTATTTTTTGTAAAGAATATCATGTTGATTAATATTTAAATTAGGGCAAACTGACAATCCAATGATCAGTAATTACCAGGTTTGTATCTTGATTTCATTATGGTTGAATTACACTAATTTTGTGATTTTTTTAAACAAGATATTCAGTTAATACTAAATCGTATACATATTGGTCAGTGTTGGTGTAAGTATTAGTATCAGTATAAATATCAGTTTTAGTATCAAAAGTATCAGTATCGGTATCGGTATCGGTATTCATATCGGTATCGGTATCGCTACGGTATTGGTATTGGTATCGGTATCGGTATCGGTATCGATATCGGTATCGGTATCGGTATTGGTATCATTATGGGTATTTGTATCAGTATTGATATCAATATCGGTATCAATATCAGTATCAGTATCAATATTGGTGTAAGTATTGGTGTAAGTATTAATATCAATATTAGTATCAGTATTAGTATTGGTATGAGTATGAGTATTGGTATTAGTATTGACATGAGTATTAGTATTAGTATCAATATTAGTATTAGTATTGGTATCGATATTGGTATCGGTATCAGTATCGATATCGGTATCGGTGTCGATATCGGTATCAATATAGGTATTAGTATCGGCATCAGTATTGGTATCAATATCAATATCATCATTGGTACAGTATTGATATCAGTATTGGTATCAGTATTTGTATCGGCATTGGTATAAGTACCAGTATCGGTATTGGTATCAGTATTGGTGTAAGTATTCATATCGATATGAGTATCAATGCTAAAATCAATATTAGTATTAGTATCAGTGTTAGTACCAGTAGTCGTATCAGTATTGGTATTGGTATCGGTACCGGTATTGATATCAGTATCGGTATCGGTATCTGTATCGGTATCGGTGTCGATATCGGTACCAATAAGGGTATATGTATTGGTATTGGTATCAATATTGATATCGGTATCAGTATCGATATAGGTATGGGTATTCGTATTAGTATCACTATCAGTATTAGTATTAGTATCAATATTGGTGTAAATTTTATTATCATTATCAGTATTAGTATTAGCATCAGTCTTTATATTTGTATCGATAATAGTATCACTATCTGTATTAATATCGATATCAGTAACGATATCAATATTAATAATATTATTGGTATCAATATCGGTATTGGTTTCAGTATTGGTATTAGTGTCGGTATTGGTATCAATATTGATTTCAGTGTTGGTATCAATATCATTATCAATATTAGTATCAATATTAGTTGGTAATATTAGTTGGTATCAATATTGATATCAGTGTTGGTATCAATATCGTTATCAATATTAGTATCAATATTATGTATCAGTATTTGTATCATTATTATTAGTATAAATATTATTATTAGTATGAGTATTAGTATTATTGTATGAGTATTAGTATTGGTATTAGTATCGTTATAGATATTGATACGAGTATTGGTATGAGTATTATTATCAGTATTAGTATCGGTATTGGTATCGGTATCGGTATCGGTATCGGTATCGGTATCGGTATATGCCTTGGCAACAAAACAAGGCATAACTCAACAATCACAGAACTCGCAAAACTAAACCATGATATTGCGGTATCGGTATCGGTATCGGTCATGCCTTGACAACAAAACAAGGCATAACTCAACAATCACCAAACTCGCAAAACTAAACCATGATATTGCAGCAACTATGAGGATATAATACATCGAGAAATGAGTAAGTGAAGCAAAACGAAAATCTGAACATTAGCAGGAGCAAGCAAATTTTGAACATAAACAAGTTAGGTGCACATAATCCATGAGATATTTCACGAGTAAAAAGAGATTCTAAATGCACAAAATAAACATAAAGAAAAAGACGACATCGAATTCCATAGGCATATATAGTAGCTTCCCTGACCTTGGAATTACCTGCAAATGCGAAAAAATCCAATGAAAAGCATACAGTAGAAAGCTGTTGGAGAACAATTGAGAACATGCATCTCTCACATGTTTCATGCTAGAAAAATAAGCAGAGTACAACCTATTCAAATAGAGTGTCATAAAGCCTACCAGCAAATAATGAGACCATAACAAGGTGGTCACACTTGCTTTTTGGTAATATTTAGTTGAAAACAAACAAATATGTCATTTAACTCGTCTAATGAAACTAACAGTGCGAACAACACAAATCGATACGAGGGATTGAAAATATATACCCATGCGTAAATAACATTATTAAACATATAGCTGGTTAAGAAAACAAAAAAATACAGGAAATCTAGAATTGAAAATTAATTACCTATAGGAGGATGTAAAATTGCGCATGCCTAGACAATATGAACAGAAAATATGCGAATTTCATCGGATTGAAATACGAGCTCTGCTTTAAAAGTTTTGGGAGCGGCATCATCATCATCAAGCTTGGCGGTAAACGTGAAGTACAATGAGTGCGTGAAATGGATGGGTAGACTTCTGAATGCTTTGACAACTTCCACCAACTTGTATTCGGTCGACTGCACACAGAAAAGAAGCAAGTTATGCTTAAATGTGGTTCATTTAAGACAAAAACAAAATTTCAAAAAAAAACATACGTGTCTTTTGTTGAAGGCATTGATTGCAATTTGAACATAAACTATGAAATCTTGGACGGCTGAGGGATCATTAAAGCCGGTGAAATCTCGATCGTAGATGAGCTTAGCCATAGGCCTCTGCATAAAAATAATTAATTATAAGATAATATATAATTAATTGTTATAATTAAATATAAATTACAGTAACTTACGCCCAACATATACAGGCGAGCAGCCTTGTCAGTGATCCTTAATTCGGTAAGCTTGGGCTTAAAATATTCATATTTGATCGATTCCTCCTTGCACAATTTCTTCACTTGTCTAAGCATCCTTTTTATCCTTAACCCTCGCTTACCCGTTTCCGTTTCCGTTTCCGTTTCCGTTTCCGTTGCCGTTTCTATTTCATTCTTCAATTTTTCGACTTGAGAAAGTATCTCCAAGATATTATGCTCACGCTGCTGCTTTGCCAAATCCAATTTCAATTTCGGGTATTGCAATTTTACTTTCACTTTCATGCTCTCCGATTCCTCTAACTGCGATTTCACATTCGTGCCGGATGCAGATCCACAAGAAGCCATCTCTCTCTCTCTCTCTCTCTCAACAGACGGTTCTTCTCTTCCCTTTTCTTTTCTAAAGTTTCTTAACCCAAACCCGAGAGTCCTTTATTCCCTTTTGGATGGAACGCCTCCTCCAAATCTATATAATCTATACAATATTCATCCAATTTAACACCAACCCAAAAATCAAAGTTTCACTATAATAGACCCCCACTCCTTAACTTTTATTTCAAATAAATTCCAAAAAGTAATTTCATTAAATTCACAAATAAATATATATGTATATATTAAAATCACCTCAAAAATCTTTTAGTATATAAAAAGTAATATAATAGTGTCTTCAATAAAAATATTTTTTTGACTAATATTTCGGGCCCAACTAGATGTATATTTGTACCTTCACACCACAACTTATATTTCTTGTAATAAAAAAATATAAAATTTAATAATATATTGAAATTGATATATTAATTTTAAGTAGATAATTAGCAAGACCCCCTCATCTAGGTAAATGTGTTAAGAAAACCCCCTCTCCCAAAAATAATTAGAGAAAACCCCCTTACCTAATATCCTACCCAAATATTATTTAATAATTCCCAAACCACCCTTATTACCCCTAACCCATTGCCGTTCTCTTTTTTTTTTTTCTCCTCCTCTCGTCTTCTCTCTTCTGCCTTTCTCTCTTATTCTTTTCTCGTATTTCCTCTTCTCGTCTTTTCACTTCTCTCTTCTCTTGGCAATTACCTCCGCCATGGATTATCGGTTAGAGGAAGATGCCTTTGTATTCGCCACCCAACTGACCATGGCGGCGGTGGATTTGGCTACAAGCGGCGGCCGAAATCTTCGGATCTGAAATCACCGGTGATCTGGTGGACGGAATCTGAGGAGGAGGAGGGGAAATCGTCTGCGGCGGGGTGCATATCGGTATGTTTTTGGGAACTTTGAGCTCCGTTTCTTCCTTGTCTCTCTTTTGGGCCATAGATTCGGCCGGGATGAAAGGTGTTCTAGGTTATCGGTGGGGAAAGAGAAGAAGAAGAAAGAAGAAGGGCTTGGTGTGCAAAAAAAAAAAAACAGAAATGAAATGAGTGGAAAATGAGGAAATGGGAAATGTGTGTTAGAATATAGCAGTGGGATGGTGATGTTGTGGTGTGGCGACGACGTGGTGACGATGAAGAGCAGATCTAGGGTTTTTTGGTGGATTGTGGCGGAAGACGGCGCAGAAAAAAAATTCGCGCAGGCAGGGCCCTTAATCGACTACGTGTGTTTAATCGACTATGTTCAACAGTCGATTAAGGCTTAATCAACTATGTTCACTAGTCGATTAAAGCTTAATCGACTATGTTCAGTAGTCGATTAAGGTTAACCGACTCTAGTTGTTATTTTTTTTTTTTTTTGATTTTTTGTTTATTGATTCCAATGAATAAATCAATAACAATGTTTGTATATTGTTTTTTAAATATAGTTGATTTTGCATTTTTTTTGTAATTTTGATTTGTTATTTTTAACAGCTAAAATTTTAATCGACTATGCATTAATAAACCTGATAGAGAAAAAAATTAAAAAACCAAAAAAATTTAAAAACAAAATTAGAAACAAAAAAAAAATAAAAAAATTAAAGATTTTCCTTAATCGACTATGAAGCATAGTCGTTTTAAGACTAATCGACTATGCTTCATAGTCGATTAAAAAAACGAAAAAAAAAAAAAAAAACCGCGGAGCGCTGACCCAGTGATGAGGTGGCGGGCGGGGGTAAAGATGGAAAATATAATGGCTGAAAATGGGTGTGGACTTTTCTCAAATGGACTAAAATATTTTGGGCCTCCCTCAATTAAAAAAAGTAGTGAGGGGGTTTTCTCAAAGAGCCCCTAATTTAATTCAAATTCTTAAACATCTAATTCTAAAAATATAATATATTTCAAGGAATTGATACTAAAAAATATTAAAAAATCGAAAATATATACATGATATAAAAAATATCGAAATTATATACATAGTATAAAAAAATTGAATATTCATACATTAAAAATTGAGATTTCTGAACTTTCAAAAACAATATAGGTGGACAATAGATAAGATTTATCGAATGTATAAATCTATGAAATATTATTTATACGTGGTAATTGTTTAAATGACTGTATAAATGTTAGATAGGAAATAACTTAAATAAATACCAAAAAAACATTGTCAACTCACTAATTGAAGAATCCACCTCATCAATTGAACTACAACTAAGCAATTTTTATAAATGACATCATTATTTGCCACATATCATGCCATAAATTAAATCTCTTGTAAAGAGAGGTCTCTATTGGTTTAAATGATTAGGGGTGATAAAAAATACAATCACCCCTAATCAATCGATTGGTTCACTGGAGTGAAACCCGGGATAGACTGCTGGCCCGGTACCCAATCACCAAACACGTGATCATTGAGGGTATACATCCTTTTTTATAGATTATAAAATTCTCATATTTATAATTAATATATAGTTAGGTAAATGACAATTGTCAATTTACCATAATACCAAAAAATTACGCCATTGTTCAATCCTCTCTTTCTTGTTCATTGTCCATCTCCAAGCGAATACCACAACTAGGAATTTAGAATTTTCTAGTAGTGTCTTTTTTTTTTTAGTGACTACAGTATTGTCTAACAATTTGAATATTTCGTATTGTCTGACAATTTGAATATTTATACATGTAAGTTAATTTTTGTTGGTCTTTTTTTTTAGTAATATTAGGAAGTTCGATTAAAACAAGTATATTTGTGTTTCGATTGTTAGACTTCGTTTTTTATGCATAAATGACCCATTTTCATTTTAATAATTTTATATGTATCAATATTAGTATCACTATCAGTATTAATATTAGTATGAGTATCTATATATCCATATAAGTATCAGTATTTCTATGAGTCTCAACAATGAGTATCCATAGGATTATCAGTATTAGTATCGATAATAGTATCAATATTAATATTAATATCAGTATCAATATCATTTTTTTGTATTAATTTTAGTATAAGTATATCAGTATAATATCATATCAATATTAGTCTTAGTATCATTATTGGTATCAATATGAGTATCAATATTAGTAGCAATATTAGTATGAGTATGAATATAAGTATGATAGTATCCATATGAGTATTATTATGATTCTCAATATTAGTATTAATAGCAATATCAATATTATTATCAGTATCAATATGAGTATCAATATGAGTATCAATATCAGTATGACTATCAACTATCAGTATGAGTATCAATATTAGTATATGTATGATTATAAATATTAATTAGTATCAGTATTAATATCAATATTACTATCAATATCAATATCAATATGAGTATCAACATTAATATCGATATTAGTATAAGTCTTGGTAATTAACAATATCAAAATCAATATGGATATCAGTATTAGTATCATTATCATTAGTTGCCGGATCAACCCCCGGATTTTTGCAAAAAAAATTAAAAATTGCTTCCTTAATTAAAGAAAATAATTTATACACGTATTATTTCAGAAAAAATCACATTATATTGATTTCTGCTGAATATTTAAAACTTAATGAGGGTAATTTCACTATTTATTGATTTTATTTATTTAAAGAGTGCAAAATAACAAATTAAATTATTATTTTCTTCCACCCCAATATAATTTCGAGCATACAAAATGCAAAAAAACAAAATTCACAACGAATTACTGAAAAAACTATATTTTCTTACAAAAATAAATATTCTCACTAAATTATTTGATCGTGAAAATATTTGGTAGAAATCTGTGGATCGGAAGAAAATATAATTTTCAAATAATTTGATACCTAAATTGCTGAAGAATATTATTTATTCTTTTAGTTTTTTGTAAAAAACTATTTGTGAAAAAAAATTAATGTGTTGATTTATTTTTGCACTTTGTAGTTTCGAAAGGATTGATGAATAAAAAAATTAATTTGAAATTTGACATCCTATAAAATAGCACCAAATATATTGAATTACCTTCATGAGCTATAAAAAAATATGCGGGGATATGCATAATAAATTGAGTTAATTTTATTTCATATTTCGGTTGTTTTTTCTGAAATTCATAACATAATCTTTATACTATGTAGTCAAAAAATTATTTCTTAAAATCGAATCTATAATTAATATTTTAAAATAAAATAAACTGAAATAATGATAACATTAAATTATTTATTATGTGATAAATTACATGAAATGCCATGGGAGACCAAATCATTCTCTGGTGAAATGGTTAAATAATTTTATTTTATTATTTGATATAAATGAAATGCTTAGGATATCACTAAACACTATTTTCAACAAAAAATTGTGAAAACGTAAAATAGTATGTTACGGGTGGGAGATGACCCTGTTTTTCACCACCAAAATAAAATTTAGTGAAAAAGTAGGTATAACATTATATTTAAGGGTGGAAAAAATGGGATATGACCCATTTTTACTCTCTCTTAATACATCATATATTTAAATTTTAAAGGGTAAATGGAACTTAACCCCCATGTGGTTTCACCTTTGTGCACTTCACCCCTCTGGTTCAATTTTGGCAATTAAACCCCTTGTAGTTATCCATTTGTAGCAGTCATTCAATTAACTAGCGGAAAATATTAAGTACCTGAAATACCCTTTTATTTTTCTACTATTTGCAGGTCAAAAGCATGACAAAATTCTTATATTTTCCTTTTATGGAAAAATGTAAATTCAATATGATTTAATTATAAATAACCCAAATCCATGGGACTAAACTACAAATTTTTAGACTTTCTTGAAAACCCCAATCCTAATCATCATCTTCTCCGTTCAGGCGTTACAATCATGGTTATCGGATCGTAAAAATATCTCGTATCATTTTGCTCCACATCTCGTACCGTATCGTTATCGTATCGTATCGTAAGATATTTAACCAACTATTAAAATAGTAAAAAATATATATCTACATTATAAAAATATTATAAACATACAAAATTTATTATTTTTAAGTTAAACTACTCATTTCAAAATAGATATAAATTCAAGTTTCGACATCTTATTATAAAATAGGACAAAAAATATAATTGTTCATCAAATAACATCATCTAAGGTGGTGTTTGTCTAGGCTTATAAGATGTTTAAGAGCTTATAAGCTCTTCCAATGTGTTAGGTAATTTTTTTAAACAGATCTTAAAAATTCAAAATATAAGTTGTGGAGTTTTAAAAAAATACATTTACCCCGCCTATTTAGTTAAGATCTAATAATGAGTAAAAATATCTTGTAAGATTATTATCTAAACACTTGAAAAAATAATTCTAAAAGTAAGACGTAACAACTTATCAACTCTTAAAACAGCTTATCAGATGTAAGAGTTTATCAGCTGTTTAAAATAAACTTTAGCGAAATAGGCCCAAGTTCAAATTCGAAAACCTAATTTGTAAAAATATTCGATCACTCGTAATTTTAAAGATCAATGTCACTTAAATCGTCCTCATCCACCAACTTTAAACGATTGCCTTCATCATTATCAATCGCAAAATCCAGTCAAAAAACGCCTTGAATTGGTTTAGAATCGCAAAATTAAAATCGCAAGAATCTATAGAAATTGAGTTACAGTTGCGATATTGTAAGGATTGGTGAAGAGATTGAAGAGAAAAGTGTGAATTAAGGTTAGGATATTGAAGAAATTTGTTCAAATCCATTTTCAGAGCAGTTGATTGCGTTTCTTCTTCTTTTTTTCGTTTTTTTTAATTATCGACTAATATCGTAAATATCGTATCGTATCGTGATACGACGATACGATACGATATCTCGCGGTATTAAACGGTATTTATCAATAAGCGATACAAAACCCGAGTTGTATCGTTTTGATTGGAACCGTACCGTATCACGATATATATCGCGGTATATCGCGAGATTAACTACCATGGTTACAATCCCTTCCCTTCTTCTCTGTTCACATCCTCCACAACCTCTTTCTTTCCACTCCACAACAATCCTCCATTCCCTTCTTCTCCTTTCAATTGGCTAACGTCGTGGGAGGCTAATCCCCATTTTCTTTCTCCATTTTCCGTACTTAAACTTGCAAACTGAGATTCGGCTTTGGAGAGTTGAATCGGAGAGGATAAGGAGAAATACATCCCTCAAATGAGATTTGTGGAGGTTGGTGTGCGGCGGATTTTCTGAAGGAAAGAAGAAAGATTGAGGGGGCGTGTGTGCGTGTTGGCGTCGCCGGAGGATAAGGTGAAAGGTTGGGGGTGTGTGTGCGTGCGGCGAATCTTTTGAAGAAAGAAATGATTTTAATTAAATTTTAAAAAGTTTTAATTTAACTACTTTAGTTTTGACATTGTTTTCAATTTGGTCCCTTAATTTAAAAAAATACCTGTTTAGGGACCGAGCGAGTGAAATACACTCACTTTAGTTAATGATAAACCTACATGTTATTTTGGTTGAATTATCTGCTAATAAGTTCATTACTAAAATTAGTTATTCCGCATAAGATTCACGTGTCGATTGCATTATCATGAGATAAGTTATTTTCATTTAATTCCATTTGTAATTGATCCCCGTGCTAGTTAGTATTAGTTACAGATAATATGAAAAAAAAAAAAAAAAAAAAACATAATTTCATTACCATTAATTTAAAGCACTTCCACAAACACATGCAAATTCATCTACAGAAGATGATCGAGGCAGACACATATGATATACATACATATACATACACACGCACACACAGTACAGCTGTAAACTAGTGAGATATCGCAAGCAGAGACTGAGACATCTTCTCGTACTTAAACCCTAACCCCAAAGAATCATCCGCCGACCAAACAAAGATTCCATGAAGATTCCCCTCACTCTTCAACCTACTACACGCCGTGAAGAATCCGTCACGGGGGCCCAAACCCCCACTCCCATCGCTGATAAAACTAACCAACACCTTCCCTCCACCGTAATTCAAACTCTGCTCCGCAAAATACCCCAAGAATTTCTCGACACTAATCCCTTCATCGTAAGCGTAGAACTGGAAATTCACGTAGTCGATCACGCGCCCGTAGCTTCTCCACAGCGCCGTGTAGTGGCTCTGAACTTGTTCGTCGTCGAACGGAGCTATCGAGGCGAAAGAAATCACCCCGTTGTTCTTCAGCGTCGAGACCAGCCTCCCAATGCACTCCGCGAAAACTTCGGGGGTCGATTTGAAGTGCTCGTAGTCGATGTCGATCCCGTCGAGGTTGTAGGATTGGATGATTTTTGTTAGGGAGGCGACGGCGTTGGGGAGCCAGGATTCGACGGAGGTAGGGTTGAAGTAGGCCGGGTGACCGTCGGCCGCCGTGTCGCCGCCTAGGCTGAGTGCAACTTTGACGTTAGGGTTTCGGGATTTGATGGCGGAGACTTGTGATGGGGTGAGGTTGTCTGTGTCCCAGAATACGTTGAAGTTGCCGTTTGTCGGAGTGGAGGTGGTGGTGGTGTAGTCGATGGCGAATGAGAGGATGAAGTGGAAATCGACATTTTGGTTTATCGGGAGGTCGGAGAATTTGACGCCGTTGAATTCCGCTCCGATGTATTCGCGGAAGAGGTTGGAGTTGTTGTTGGCTGCGGCGGCGGTAGATGATGATGTGGCAAAGATGATTAGGGTTAATTGGAAGATGAAAATAATTAGTTTGGAGGAATATTCCATTTTTGCTTCGTTTTGATTTTCTTGTGCAGTGTGTTGGGTTGAGGAAATTAGATTCACTTAAAATTTATATAGTGCGTACTAGATTGTTTGAAATAAATAAATTAAATACATATAAAATAATTATGCATGTGTGCCGTTGAAGGAAATTTTGCAAGAAGTGTGTGATGGATTATTAGGTATATACATGAAAGAACTTAGTTTTGGTTATGAAGAGTGTTCACTGCATGCATGTAATATAGTTGTTGAAGTTAGTTTTGCTGTCAAAAGAGTGTTCATTACGTTTCGTTTGCCTACTTGAAAGTCAACAGGTAATTAGACGATGCTACACCTGGTTATATACATTGAGTGCTTGTTAATCATAGATTAGATTACACCCGGTGTACGTAGCATCTAATTTCCGGTACTATGTTATTATTATTAAATGTTACATATATTCAACGAAATCCTAAGATAAGATACGTATTTAAAGATGATAATATCCTATTAATTATAATTTATAACACTATTGCAACTAGAAATGAAAGATTAATGTCGATCTAAAACAAATAACTAACATCCTATTCCAAACTAAATAATATTACTAATAAAATATTAAATTAATAAATTTATAATTTGATATTAAATTTTGAAATGGTACAACTTTCGTCCCACTCCAATTGGGCCGAAAGGAAACTCTGTTTAGAGAATATATTATCTACATGGGCCTAATTAAATCCTATTGATGGGTTATACTCTGGCCTATATCGTCAAAGTAAATCAAAGAAACGTGTTTCTCTGTATTAACTTTTTTCTGGTTCACATTCAATATCCAAACGGAACATAACATTTATTCAATAAATTATTAATAATAATAAATAAATAAAAAAGAAAAAAAAGAGGGAAGAAGAAAAATAGTATATATAGACGACGCAGATTGGATCCAATCTGATGTTTGAGTATTAATATGAGTATTACTATGAATATCAATATCAATATGAGTATCAATATTAGTATCAGTATCATTAGCAAGAATATTTAATAACGGAAAAAATAACAAAATAACAAAATATAAATATTAAAAAAAAGAAAAAGAAAAAAATGCGTACAACGAGAAAGGGTAATTCGGTTATTTTCATGTAATTGGATTGATGTTAATTAATGAAACCAAACATCAAATACTATTAAATAATGGGGAGATAAAAAATTCAAAATTTGATAACAAACATCTTTTAAAATAATAGGCCTATTATTTTCTAGGGAGAACTATCTTATCTAGGCTGATCTTATCTTGGCAACCAAACGAGGTCTTAGTGTATTAGTATTAACATTAGCATTAGTATTAGTGCATTATCATTAGTATTAGTATATTAGTATTGATATTAGTACTAGTTGTATTAGTATTAGTATTTGTATTAGTATTAACTATTTCCTACTTTTTCAATGATTCCACTTAGAAGGAATTATTGAACAAACATTTATTTATTTGATTAATATTAGTATTAATATTAGTATTAGTATTAGTATTGTATTAGGATCAGTATCAGTGTTAGTATCAATATTAGTATCAAAATTAGTATCAATTTTAGTATGAGTATAAATATCAGTATTAGTATCAGTATCACTATCAGTATCAAATATCAATATTAGTGTTAGTATTACTATTATTACAGTATCTTATATATAAAAGGAAAATATTTTGAACTAAAACCTAAACCTAAACCTAGGGCAGTTTATTAATTTCTTATTTTTGCAGATTTTTTTCTCTTTTGCTTTCCTTTTTTGAATCCACGTCGTTTTTTCCCCTTTAAATTTGAATACAATTGTCGGAATAAAAAACTTCCAAACTGTCTGCTAGGCACACTAGGCACAAAACCTACTCCACGATATAAACCCACTCACACACGTTCTTTTCATAACTCCCACATACGTTCACTTATATATCAGCTTTTGATTGCAGCATCCATCCTATTCATTAGAGCGCATCGGAGGACGATTTTGTGGCAGTGGGTAAATCATTTTTCCCCTTCATCTGCGATATATTTTGGATTCCATTTTGTTATGAATAAGTTTTCTTTCTTGCATGTTTTTATTAAACCGAAATGTCCACCTTATTTTTGGGTGATGTCGTGTTTTTCCTTTCCATTTCGAGTTACTCTGGATTCAATTTGCTGATTATTTTTTTGTTGCAGGTGTTTTTTAATTGAAGTTGTATTTTTGTTGTTGCATCTTCTGTATCTGAAATCAGGTATATTTTCTGGAAGAACAATATTTTAGTGGTCCCATTTCAACCAATTTTTTTTGGTGCAGAAAATGAGAGCGAGGCTCGAGAAGATGAAGAAGAATGCCGAGAATGAGGAATTTGACAATGTAATTTTTTTCAATTTTTTTAGTATTTTGTTTTATTTTTTATTTTTTTACCTATTCTGCTTGACCTGGTATATTTTTTTTTTTAATTTTTTTTTTATGTCTATGAATATTGAAAAATAGACGAGTTCAATTTTTAGTGTTTGTAAATTCGAAAAAGGCATCTAAAATATGAAAATAGTTGTAAATTGGTAGGGTCGTTCTATTTTTTTTCTCATTTAGTTAAGATATTGAATTCATATAGATATAAACCTGATGAGCGTGGTAAAAAAAACTGATTTACTGTACAGTAAGTAATTCTTATGCATCATTTTAATTATTGGAGTTGGCTGAGATACATAGCATATTAGCTATAATTTGAGACAACCTGCAAACAGCTATGTGCAGGTCATTTTCTTTAGTTGATGGTGCCCGAGTATTGGTTAGGATGTTACAATGTGCCCAAATAGATGTCTGTTAATCATCAAATAGGATAAACAGTCTTCTTCTTTTAGCATGACAATTGCTAAATATGTTAAATCTAATATTGTATACAATTGGACTCTATTACAATTTAGCGATTGGGTATTTGGTAGTCTCCAAATAACGGATAAAAACACTATGGATGTTAGTCATTTAATAGGTTACCTCCATTAACCCTTATTATTTCTTAGGACAATAAGATTTAGTAACAATCAACGGCAAACAAGTGGATGAATAAGAAGTCCTGATTGTTTATATTATGATAGTAATAATATGTTTACAATATATATTTGTTTCACTAAGAATAATATTGTTTAATTCATGTATTTGTCCTTTTAGTTTATGTGGATGGTGTACATAATGGTAAGCAAAATAGTTGAATCTGGTCCGTGTAAAGCTAAACATTTTTGGAATTACTTCAATGTTTCATGTAAAACATTGGCGATGGACTCCGACGGCTGATAACTGTTCTTGCAGCGTGTGTTTTCCCTTTGGATGAGAATGTAATTATGTGGACTTTGTGTTGCAATATATGCTTCTCTTATACTCTTTTGGCGCACATGGCAGACTTTGCGGACTGACAGAGGTATAGAAGTACTACATATATTGTCATGAAATACTGATCAATATCCTCAAATATCAAGAAGGGATAATCGAATACTAAAATCATTGGCTTAATTATAGGTGAGAATTAATATCAACTTACCTATTTATTCACCTCTTATCTTCTGAAAATGAGAGACTTAATTTTGTAGATGTGAAGTTCAATTATTACCATTGGATTCTATTTAATATCTGATATTAGCTTTACAGACTCAAAAAGGAATATGGCTTGGAGAAGTTCTTAACATAAGATTGGATGATGATTTGATTATCTCTGATTTGCTTCAAGATGGGTAGATAATGTGAGCTTTTGATTTTTGTCATTAATCACAATCATTTATTCTTACATATTAGAAATCTTGATTAGTATTGATATGACTTTTTTCTGTTATTCTAATTATCTCATTATGCTAACTAATACATATTACAGTAGCTGCTTACTCCATATTATGGCTGACACGAATTCTAATATCTTTGAAATACAAGACAAGATTCCTCTTTTAACTCTCTTTCTCTGCCTTAAATTCATTTCTTTTTTCGATAGAATATGTACCTAGCATCCATCCTATACAGTAGCTAACGTATGCAACACGAGAAGGTTACTGTGTTGCTCTCTCCCTCAGCATTGTGTTGATTTACTTTCGGTTATGGGAGATGAGCAAAAGAAGCTCATTGCCACTGTCCTGCTGCCACAATCATGTCATTAATATATATATTAGCATGACATTTTTATGTCTGAACAAGTTTTGGTGCATAGAGTTGTCCCACTTATTTGTTGCAGTTTAATTCTTACTACCTTCTACATTGTAAAGTGTATTATTGAAGCAACGGAAAAATAATTTCAATACCTTCGTGTATAAGTAATTACTATGAACGTATAACTGCAGTTTTATATACTGTTCCAATTCTTTACCTATATCATCTATAAATTTGTACAACCAACAAAAAAAAATGCATAAATTATCGTTCATTTTTATTCGTTGTTGTAAATTATACAGTTATACGTGTCGTTGTTTAAACACTTCTTTATTATATATGATTTATTAGAATATTTAACATAACATATAGTACAATTTACAACTATGGAATGTGTTTGACGCCGTAATATTTATTGGGTTTATTCCATTTTGCACTCTTCAAATGTACCATTTAAGCAATTTGCACCCTCGAAAAACTTTAATAATACTATTACGCAATAATCATTCACAATGCACCCGAATGATTTTTTTAAAACTTTATATATTTCAAGGGTGCTAATTGTCTATCTTCCATGCATCGTACGGGTAGAATTACTAATATTTATTTGTAACTTTAAATTGACCAATAATTTGTCACGTGCATCTCGCATGTATACGATGACATCTTGAAGTGTTAGAAGTAGCAAATATTCATTATATTATTGATAGTTGGTAGTTTATTCATCGGATCTAATTTATGTGGTTTTTATTGTATAATTTCATTGGAGTATGTAAACCCGTGCATCGCACGGGTATGGTCACTAGTTATTATCAATATTAGTGTTAGTATTACTAGTATTACAGTATTAATATTAGTATTAATATTAGTATTAGTATTAGTATTGGTGTTATTATTAGTATTTGTAGTATTGATATTGATACTGAT